CTCTCCTCTCTCTCTCTCTTTCCTCTCTTTCTCTCCTCTCTCTTTTTTTCTCTCTCTCTCTCCTCTCTCTCTCTCTACGTCTCTCTTCTCTCTCTCTCTCTCTCTCTATATATATATATCTTCTCTTCCATCTCTCTCTCTCCTCTCTCCTCTCTCTCTCTCTCTCTCTCTCTTCTCTCGTCTCTCTCTCTCTCTCATTCCTCGCTCTCTCTCTCTCTCGCTCGCGTCGCTCGCTCAGCTCGCTCCTCGCTCTCTCTCTCTCTCTCTCTCTCTCCTCTCTCTCTCTCTCTCTCTCGCTCCGCGCTCGCGCTCTCTCTTCTCCTCTCTCTCTCTCTCTCTCTCCCTTCTTCTCTCTCTCTTACATTCTCTCTCCCTCTTCTCTCTCACTCTCTCTCTCTCTCTCTCTCTCTCTCGCTCTCTCTCTCTTTCTCTCTCTCGCTCTCTCCCGCTCTCTCTCTCTCTCTCTCTCTTTCTCTTTCTCTTTCTCTTTCTCTTTCTCTTTCTCTCTTTTTCTCTCTCTCTCTCTCTCTCTCTCTCTCTCTCTCTCTCTCTCTCTCTCTCTCTCTCTCTCTCTCTCTCTCTCTCTCTCTCTCTCTCTCTCTCTCTCTCTCTCTCTCTCTCTCTCTCTCTCTCTCCTCTCTGCTCTCTTCGCTACTGGCTTCTGACGGAGTCTGGGTTAGGTGAGCCTGAGTGTGGGTGAGTCTGAGTATGGGTACGTCTGTGTGTGCCTGACTCTGAAGAAATGAATCTGAGTGTGAGTGAGGTTGTGTATGAGTGAGTCTGGGTGCGAGTCTGAATCCCAATGGTGCCCCTGGCAGTGTCTGGCGACTAGGAGGCCCGGGTCGACTTTTCTTTGGAAAGCCAAAATGCTGCCCCTGGCAGCGTTGAGTGACTATGAAGCCCCTGGTGGACCCCCCTCTGGGGCTCCCAAGTGATGCCCCTGGCAGCGTTTTGCGACCATGAGGCTCTCAAGAGAGACATGTTGGGGAGGCCAAGCGGCAATTTTAGTTGAGACGTCCCACCAAAATCGGCGCGACCGGGCTCGTGAGATCAGCCAGGGTGGCTCCCCCTTGGGGCTCCCAAATGATGCCCCTGGCAGCGTTTTGTGACCATGAGGCTCTCAAGAGAGACATGTTGGGGAGGCCAAACGGCAATTTTAGCTGAGACGTCCCACCAAAATCGGCGCGAACGGGCTCGTGAGATCAGCCAGGGTGGCTCCCCTTTGGGGCTCCCAAATGATGCCCCTGGCAGCGTTTTGTGACCATGAGGCTCTCAAAAGGTACATGTTGGGGACGCCAAACGGCAATTCTAGCTGAGGCGTCCCATTAAAATCGGCGCGAACGGGCTCGTGAGATCAGCCAGGGTGGCTCCCCCTTGGGGCTCCCACATGATGCCCCTGGCAGCGTTTTGTGACCATGAGGCTCTCAAGAGAGACATGTTGGGGAGGCCAAACGGCAATTTTAGCTGAGACGTCCCACCAAAATCGGCGCGAACGGGCTCGTGAGATCAGCCAGGGTGGCTCCCCCTTGGGGCTCCCAAATGATGCCCCTGGCAGCGTTTTGTGGCCATGAGGCTCTCAAGAGAGACATGTTGGGGAGGCCAAACGGCAATTTTAGCTGAGACGTCCCACCAAAATCGGCGCGAACGGGCTCGTGAGATCAGCCAGGGTGGCTCCCCCTTGGGGCTCCCAAATGATGCCCCTGGCAGCGTTTTGTGACCATGAGGCTCTCAAGAGAGACATGTTGGGGAGGCCAAAAGGCAATTTTAGCTGAGACGTCCCACCAAAATCGGCGCGAACGGGCTCGTGAGATCAGCCAGGGTGGCTCCCCCTTGGGGCTCCCAAATGATGCCCCTGGCAGCGTTTTGTGATCATGAGAGAGTGTGAGTGTGAGTGAATGTGACTGTGAGTGAGTCTGAGTGAGAGTGAGTCTCATATTATCTTATCGAGTCCTATCTTATCTTACCTTTATTACCCTCTATCTTATCCTATCTTGAAATCTCGTATCTTGTCTTAGCTTATCTTATATCAACTCATCTTATCGCATCATATATTGTCTTATCTTATTACTCCATAGGCTGTCTTATCTTATATAGTATCCGACCTTGTCATATATCTTATCTTACCTTATCATATATTGTGCTATCTTATCTTATATTGTAGTATCTTATCTTGTCTTGTCTTATCTGGTGATTATCATTGGGAGGAGGGAGGCGCGAGCGGGAGGAAGGAGGAAGGAGTCCGCGCGTGGGAGGCGTCAGAGTAATAACAAGAACCCCAATCCTTAGGATATGCGGAATTACCCTGGCGACGTACCCAACCCTTGCGCAATGCGGTGCATAAGTGCATCAAGAGTTCTACAACGGGGGCGATGACGCAACATGGACACATGTGATTTTGCGAGCAGCAATCGGAAGGCTCGCAGGCCCCGGATCAAGACATAAGGGCTACGTAATAACAAATCACCCCCGTTGGCTGTGCCATGCGCCCGTTGCACCCAACGTATCCCACAACAGCTCTTGAGAGCCCCCGCGGAATACGTGTAGGCGCAACGTTATGGCAATCGCCCGGCAGATAGTCTGTTTCACAAATCACCCCCGTTGGCTGTGCCATGCGCCCGTTGCGACTAACGCATCCCACAGCAGCTCTCTAGAGCCCCCCAGGGACGGCGAGGTCTCGCTCAGGTCCCCGCGGTGCCTCACTCCGCAGGACCCACCAGCAGCCCTCGAAAGTGGCGACAGTGTCGCAGATCGCAGCCACCCCAGGGACGGCGAGGTCTCGCTCAGGTCCCCGCGGTGCCTCACTCCGCAGGACCCACGAGCCTCGCTGAGCAGCCCTCGAAAGTGGCGACAGTGTCGCAGATCGCAGCCCCCCAGGGACGGCGAGGTCTCACTCAGGTCCCCGCGGTGCCTCACTCCGCTGGACCCAACAGCAGCCCTCGAAAGTGGCGACAGTGTCGCAGATCGCAGCCCCCCAGGGACGGCGAGGTCCCCACAGGGACGGCGAGGTCTCGCTCAGGTCCCCGCGGTGCCTCACTCCGCAGGACCCACCAGCAGCCCTCGAAAGTGGCGACAGTGTCGCAGATCGCAGCCCCCACCCCGCGGTGCCTCACCCCGCAGGACCCACCATCAAGTCCCCTCGAAAGTGGCGACAGTGGTCGCAGATCGCAGCCCCCCCAGGGACGGCGAGGTCTCGCTCAGGTCCCCGCGGTGCCTCAGTCCAGAGGACCCTCCAGCAGCCCTCGAAAGTGGCGACAGTCGCAGATCACAGCCCCCCAGGGACGGCGAGGTCTCGCTCAGGTCCCCGCGGTGCCCCAGTCCGCAAGACTCACTGGCAGCCCTCGAAAGTGGCGACAGTGTCGCCGATCGCAGCCCCCCAGGTACGGCGAGATCTCGCCCCCCGCGGTGCCTCAGTCCGCAAGACTCACCAGCAGCCCTCGAAAGTGGCGACGGCGTCGCAGATCGCAGCCCCCCAGGGACGGCGAGGTCTCGCTCAGGTCCCCGCGGGTGGCCTAACACGCCCGCTGGACCCAAAGTATCCCTTCGAAAGTGGCGACAGTGTCGCAGATTCGCAGCCCCCCCAGAGACGGGCGAGGTCTCGCTCAGGTCCCCGCGGTGCCTCACCCCGCAGCAGCAGCCCTCGAAAGTGGCGACAGTGTCGCAGATCGCAGCCCCCCAGGGACGGCGAGGTCTCGCTCAGGTCCCCGCGGTGCCTCACTCCGCAAGACCCACCAGCAGCCCTCGAAAGTGGCGACAGTGTCGCAGATCATAGCCCCCCCCCAGGGACGGCGAGGTCTCGCTCAGGTCCCCGCGGTGCCTCACCCAGCAGCAGCAGCCCTCGAAAGTGGCGACAATGTCGCAGATCGCAGCCCCCCAGGGACGGCGAGGTCTCGCTCAGGTCCCCGCGGTGCCTCACTCCGCAAGACCCACCAGCAGCCCTCGAAAGTGGCGACAGTGTCGCAGATCATAGCCCCCCCCCAGGGACGGCGAGGTCTCGCTCAGGTCCCGCGGTGGCCTAGCCGCACGAGGCAGTCAGCCCTCCGAAAGTGGCGACAATGTCGCAGATTATTCGCAGCCCCCCAGGGACGGCGAGGTCTCGCTCAGGTCCCCGCGGTGCCTCACCCTCCGCAAAGAGAACCCACCGCAGGCCCTCGAAAGTGGCGACAGTGTCGCGAGATCATAGCCCCCCCCCCCCCCAGGGACGGCGAGGTCTCGCTCAGGTCCCCGCGGTGCCTCACCCCGCAGCAGCAGCCCTCGAAAGTGGCGACAGTGTCGCAGATCGCAGCCCCCCAGGGACGGCGAGGTCTCGCTCAGGTCCCCGCGGTGCCTCACTCCGCAGGACCCACCAGCAGCCCTCAAAAGTGGCGACAGTGTCGCAGATCACAGCCCCCCAGGGACGGCGAGGTCTCGCTCAGGTCCCCGCGGCGCCTCACTCCGCAGGACCCACCAGCAGCCCTCGAAAGTGGCGACAGTGTCACAGGTCGCAGCCCCTTGGCAAGATGCACGCACAAGAGGTACCGCAGCCAGGATGCACGCACACACACACACACACACACACACACACACACACACACACACACACACACACACACACACACACACACACACGCACCCACGCACACACACACACACACACACACACACACACACACACACACACACACACACACACACACACACACACACACAAACACCACACACACACACACACACACACACACACACACACACACACACACACACACAAACACCACACACACACAAACACACGAGGTACGCACACGACAAGAGGAGACAAGAGGAAAGCGAGAGGCGAGAGGTGGGAGGAGGACTGGAGACCGCAGTGCTTTATTCAATACGAATACCCGACCAAGGAGGGTTGGGAAGAAATACCATGAGAAGCACCATTCGTACCAATTAAAACATCACCCGCTCAAGTGCCAACAGGCGCACTGGCATTTACAACCCTGCGCTCGAGAAAGTGCCACCGTCACAACACTACCAACCCCAGTTGGAGGCGCTACTTTCAAGATGCGGACGTTCATAATCAACAACGAACTGGCAAGGCCTGTGAACGAGGACCCGAAAGCAAGTGGAACAAAGCAGCGACACGAAGGACATAACGAAAGAGGAGGCGGGAGGACGGAGGGAGGAGGACGGCGTGGGAGGAGGGGGGACATCTCTCCCTCGGAGGGGGGCGGGGGGAGAGGGACTCTCCGTGGCTCGAGGCGGGCCGCGCGGAGAGGCCGCCTGTGCAGCTCTTGGGGCCTCGCCAGGGTGGCCAGGAGCCTGCGCCCGTGCGCGCGGGGCGGGAGGGAAAACGGGACCGACGCGCGCGGCGCGGAGGCGGGGCGGAGGCCGAGAGGGGCAAAGGTCAGGGCTGGACGTCAGAGGGGCACGTTGAGAGCATCGACGATCGAGGCTTCCAGGTGCGAGGGGCTCGGACGAGTTCGTCGGTTCTCGTGGGACTTCCAGCCTCGGGATGCCTTCCAGCGGCTGCGCCTCACGGGTCGTCCCGAACGGCCGCCGGAGAGCCGAGTTATGATCCGAAAACCTGGAGTTGAGGGATGAAAAGACGACCCTACCCTGGGTTACAAGTGCGTGGTCTGTACACCTCCTGGGAACCCTCAAAGCCTAGAGCCGCCAGGACGCGGCATATCACGCAGGGTTTACCCTGTCAGCCCACGGGGGTTTCAGAGCACAGCGCCTTGATGGAGGACTGGATCAGGGGGGCAAACATCGAGCTGGAATTGCCGACGCATCGCCGACACATCGACGATAGGCTCTCGGTAGCGGATCCTCACGCTCCTGGGCGGGGCTGGCTAGCGGTACCATATCGGCGATGAATGGGCGACTTGGGGTCGATGCACTCCACCCTGAACCTATCCCGCTTAACGTCAACCATGAAGTCAAGGGAGGGACTGCCGTAGTCGTCTGTGTTCGCCGCCGTCGCTGTCGCGGCCGCCGCCTGGACGCGCGCGGCCGGGGCCCCGACGGGCACGCTGGGAGGTCCATTTTGATCGTTTGTTACCCCCTGGCAACAACGGGCGTGACCGGGGGAGGGGGGGAAGGGGGCCAGCCCATGACGACGGTGATCATCACCATCATGTCAGGTGATGGTGATCGTGAGAGCCAGCCCATGACGACGGTGATCATCACCATCATGTCATGTGACAAGATGATCATGATCATCTTGTCACATGTAGGATGGTGATGATGATGATGATCATCATGGTGATAATCAGCGCCAGCGCTGTCTGGAAAAGCCCAAAGATGGCTCGTTTCCACACGCCGCTGGCGCGACTCGCGGCGTGGCCGGGAGGGGAGGTGGGGCGGGGCTGGTCACGGGCGCTGTCGCGAACAAGGAGAGAATTGCGCCTGTCTTCCTCCGGGGCCCATCATCGGGCCCTGGAAACATCAGACTTACCAACCTGGAACATATCCCTATCCCTACGCTGGGCATCTCCTCATCACGATGCCAATCTTAGGGATTCCCTTATTTTTTGAGGGCGCATCCTTAAGATTGTCATCGCCTTTTGGCGTGTCAATCTTAGTGATAGGGATAGGGATACGTTCGAGGCTGGTAACAGACATGCATCCAGGGAGACAAACTGTCCGCTGGGAGGGGGGTCCGGAACTTTGGGGCCGCGCAACGGAAGAGCATGCATCGTCGGATGACCGGGTGCGCATGCAATGCTGTGTACCCCACACGGTGCGGTGTCTCCCTCCTACTCGGTGCAGGGTTTCCCTCCTGTGCGCCCGACACCGTTAAGCCGCGATCGCTTCGGCCACAAACGAAAAGGAAACACTCCGAGCAGATTTTCCCCCCGTTCCCCCTCCAGGATCAGTCAGCATCGAATCGACAAATTGGGTCGGATCGGAACGGGCGTCGGATCGGGCTGCACGGAATCGAATCGAAGCAGCTACGCCAGAAAACATGGGCCCGCGGGGGAGGAGAGCGAGGCCCGGCGGGGCCGGACCCCCAGTCTCCGCCAAAAGGTGTTTTTGTTCATGCTGGGCGTTTTCCCTTATCCCAGCCTCTGGGCCCCGTGGACGGGCCGCGGGACCGTCCAAAGTGCATGCGGGGCAAAAAACTGTCTCCGATGAAATGGTCAGGACCTAGGGGGCCGCGCACTGAGAAAACAGATCGTAAGTTGTACGACTGGCGTGGTGCCGACTAGCATCCACCCACTACTCCATCCACGTCGGCCGTCGAAGCCGCCCTCCTCCTCCTCCTCCTCCTCCTCCTCCTCCTCCTCCTTCTCCTCCTCCTCCTCCTCCTCCTTTTCCTGGTCCTCCTCCTCCTCCTCCTCCTCCTCCTCCTCCGTTTCGTCCTCCCCTTTTTGTTGCTGTAGTTGATGGCGACAGGCTGCCTGAAGGCCTAGACGCCCTCGGCCGAAGGCCGAGGAAACTAGTATGGGGATAGGAAACCGCCTTGGAGCAACCTCGTGGCCACTCCAAGGCGGAAAACTGTGAAAAGCCCGCGCAGAGCGGCTCGCAGCCGAAGAGGATACACGATGGAGGACGAGGAAGAGAAAAGTGAGAGGGGGAGGAGGAAAAACGGCGCGGAGCACGGCACCCCACTGCGCGCCCCGCTGGCCCACGTCGCACCAAAGAGGCCGTGCTCTCAGAACCGTGGACACAGACGGTGGTGAAAAAGGCCTGGTAGAACACGATGTACTTCACGCTGGCGAAGATGACAAAGAGGAAGCAAGAAACTACAAATCCCACCAGCCCTCTGGGAGTCGGTGGTTGAGACCGTTTCCTCTTCCACCCCTCCTTCTTCCCCTTCGGGGACGGGTTTATCACTGTTCCCCATTAATAAACACCCCCTCCCCCAGGCGACTGGAGGCCAACCAAGGTCCATGACAACAACACCCCACCATCCCTTGCAAAAAAACAATGCAAAACACACTTTGCCTCCAAACTCGGAACATGCGCAGCCAACCCGATGCGGCCCCCAACCATCCCTGTCAAAAAACAATACAGAGTACGCTTGGCGGCGGCGGCGGCTGCGGCGGCTGCGGCGGCGGTGGCGGCGGCTGCGGCGGCGGTGGCGGCGGCGGCGGCAACGGCGGTGGCGGCGGCGGCGGCGACGGCGGGCGGCGGGGGCGGCGTCGGCGGCGGTGGGCGCTGCGGCGGCGCGGCGTGCGGCGGCGGTGGCGGTGGCGGCGGCGGCAGCGGCTGCGGCGGCGGCGGCGGTTTGGCAGCGGGCGGTGGCGGCAGCGGCTGCGGCGGCGGTGCGGCGGTTTGGCAGTGGGCGGCGGCGGCGGCGGCGGCCGGCGGCGGGCGGTGGCGGCGGCGGCGGCGGCGGCGGCGCGGCGGCGGCGGCACTCGACGGCGGCGGCGGCGGCGGGCGGGCGGCGCGGCGGCGGCGGCGGACGCGGCGGCGGGCAGCGGCGGCGGCGGCGGCGGCGGAGGCGGCGGCGGCGGCGGCGGCGGATTGGCCCCCAGTAGCTGCCCATCCAAAGACGACTGCTGAATATGCTGAGGCTCGGGCCAGACTCGGGTGCTACGTATGTGTTGGGAGGGCGGGTGGGAGTGAACGAGACGGCTTGCGGGCGGGGAGGGGGTCTTGACCCCTCCCCCTACCCCCTCCCCTGGACCTGGACGGGGGGGTCCACGGGTCGTTGGGGCGTCCAAGACGTCCTCAGCGAGGAAGCCAAAATCACTGATTCTAATAAGGTGTTCGCCCCATGTTGGCCTCCTGGGGGGAGCAACGCAACGCTAATTGCCCCCCCCCCCCCCCCCCCCCCCTCTTTGATAGATCTCCTCCAAAATGGCCCCAGGAAGCGCCCAGGCGGCCCCAAGAGGTCCCAAGACGGCCCCAAGATGGCCCCAAGAGGCCCCCAGGAGGCCCCCAAGAGACCCCCAAGAGGCCCCAAGAGGCTCCCCGACATACGCAAGAGGCCCCCAGGACCGCCAAGAGGCCCCCCCATGGCCTTCCTACCTCAACCTTCCCTACCTACCCTCCCCACTCATCCCTTCCCACAGTCCGAAAAGCCCATGGACCCCCAAATGCTTCATTCAACGCTGGCACGGGGCACCTTACCTAGCTAGTCTCACAGAGCTTCGCCGCCGAATCCTGTCTGCACCGCCAATCTCATCTTCGATCGCCAACACGCGTTCGCCGTCGCATGCCAACAATGCTCTGTACTCCCTGGGCGCGCGCACGTGCTCGACGAGGGATGTAGCTGCTAGTAGAGACCTGAGGTACACAGCTGGGATCGACGGTCTGCTGCCGTGGGTATACCATACTTTATTCGCATCGCTGGCCGAGGGGTCGCATGGGGGTGGGAGGTTACGCTTACCTGGCGGCAGTGGAAGACCTCGCCAGCCGCGGCTCTGCATCTTACATATAAGTTCAAATGTGATCATATCTTTATCCGCGATCCCCTCGCGAGGGCGGAGGGCTGGCCCCGGCTTTCTAAGTAACTGGAATGCTGCCACGCTGGCCAGGCCGCACTCCGTGAACCGCCACCCGTTCACCGAACCACCGAACTCATCAGGTAGCTGCACGGGCGAGGCAGGCACGCACCCTGCCCGCCCCAACGGTTCCAACACATCAAGATCCAGACCCGCATCATCCGAACTTGGGTGGACGAGGTAATAGGTGGAAGAGCCTGGGATGCCGCCGAGGTTCACGAGGTCCGCGAGGATCCGAGCTGCCCACCCATTTTGAGAAGGGTCTACTTCTTCGGGCCATCCGCTAGAGGGAAGGTACACGACGCCGTCTGGATGGGGCCCCCACTCCTGGAAATCAGCCGATCGGTCTGGCAAGGCTTCAAGGTTGCGTCTGTTCAAGACGCGGGTGCTCCCGACATCCACCACATTTGAATGCGCACCACACACCGCAACGCACAAGAGGGGGTCCCCTTCGACATCCCAGACTTGTAATATGTCGTGCACGGACACCGCCACGTCGCCGTAACCAAGGTTTGACCCAGGTGGTTTCACGAGTTTCCTTTTAGCTGGTGTTTTGTGCGCCACTTTGAACACTGTCTGGTCTTTGAGTTCCACGCGGGAGGCCTCCAACATAGTGGCAACGCGCTCGTCTAGAATAATGTATTGCCCAGCCGTTGGGGCTGGCATGAGTGCTGGTGGCGTGTACTCTGAGTCGCGCAAGGCTAAGAGAGCTGGTAGCTTGATATCTCTCTGGCCACTGAGTGCATCAGCCATGCTAGGTACGACAGCCCTCGGGATCCCAATCGAGTAGAACGAATATGCCACGAAAGTTTTGCGGAAGTGCTCCAGAGCGTGGATCGAAAATAACCTGAGTGCGATGAGTG